ATGAATCCTCACACAATGGCATCATGTTCAGAAGTAATTGTGTCATTTCACAATCAGTCCCATTTTTGACTTTTACGGCCAGAGTGAAATTTGACCAAGAAATAAGAATTATCACACAAATAAAACATATCTGTTTTAAAACAGATACATTGCCTCCCTGGACCTATTCTGAGAGTTTGCATGAAAGACAGACAGCAGCAGACTGTTCCAGGGGCTCAGCAGGAGGCAAGACCAGAGAGAGAGACCGGAGAGAGAGAGACAAGAGAGAGGGACCAGAGAGAGAGAGACCAGAGAGAGAGACCAGAGAGAGATACCAGAGGGAGAGACCAGAGAGAGAGACCAGAGAGTGAGACCAGAGAGAGAGACTAGATAAAAGCCCAGAGTCACTTGGGCTTTTAAATAAAAGCAGTAAAAGTCCTTGTTAAAAAGTTCAACCTCCCACACTCTACCAACTGAGCCACTGTCGCCCTGAGGTAGTCCATTATAATGCAAGTCCCTCTGTTCCTGTGTACTTGTGCGCCTGGCATTTAAAGGCATATTTTTGGAATGTGGAAAGTTTTTTTTGAAACTATAATTTTGAAAAGCCAACACTGCTTTCAAAAAACACGCCCTTTCAACACCGGTCAAAAAAATCTGTGTCTTCAATGTGAAAATACCTACACTATAGGCACTAGACCTGCACTAGGACTGTAAACTCGCACTGCTACGGTCACTTTACTTTATTTTGTACATAATATATCTTCTTTTGTTGGCACATTTCCAGTCTTTGGCACAACCTGAGTGATCCTATTCATGCCAAATGAGACATGTACCAGAGGCCCGGGTGCAGAGCTGCTCTGCCACAACCTCTGAGCCCCCATCTGTTCAGTTACTAGCCTCAGAGGCTAGTCAGATTGAAACTATGTGTGCATGTGTGTGTGTGCCTGTGTGTGCTCAGTTACTAGCCTCAGAACCTAGTCAGATTGAAACTGTGTGTGTTCCCCGCTTGAAGTCTAAAGCACTATATGCGAGGAAATCTGACCTGGGTGTCAGACACAGTAACTTAATAAAAGTTCAGACAGACAGAAATAGTTCTAGCGGTAGGGTTGTTAAATGTGGTTTAATGAACGTCAGATCAATCTCGTCTAAATCGCTTCTCATAAACGAACTTATTATAGACAAGGGCTTGGATCTGTTTGCGCTCTCGGAGACTTGGCTCCAACAGGACGACTACGTCAGATTGAATGAGTGCACTCCTCCGACGCATGTTAACTACCAGAAAGCCAGAGCTACAGGTCGCGGCGGTGGTGTTGCGATTATATCACACACCAACTTACTTCTTAGTCCCAAAACCAACAACGCTTTTCACTCGTTTGAAAACTTAACACTTTCAATCACCTGTCCTGGGTGGAGAAAACAAAAAGCAGTACTATTTATAGTTTTATACCGACCTCCTGGTCCTTACAGCGAGTTCCTAACAGAATTCTCTGACTTCATTTCAAACCTAGTTTTGGAATGGGAAAACATAGTTATAGCTGGAAACTTCAATATACATGTGGACGACAGCACTGACAGCTTAAACAAAGCTTTCAGCGCCGTACTAGATGGTGTTGGTTTTACTCAGAATGTCGAGGAACCTACTCACATTCATAACCACACCTTGGACCTTGTCCTGACCTACGGCTGTGATGTCTCCAATGTTGACATCCAGCGTCAAAGCTCGTTGCTGTCTGACCATTTCTTGATCACGTTTGATCTCGCTTTGGAGGACTTTCCTGTCCCGCAAGATAAAACCATAATGAAAAGAACCTTAAATGATAAATCTATCACAAGGTTCAAAGAACTAATACAGCCTATGTTGAATACTGCTGCAGGTGAACCTGTTCACAGCAGCTGCAGTCCCTCAGTCATTGACCAAACGGTGGGCAACACTATGGAGTCTTTAAAATCTGCATTAAATGCAGCAGCTCCTTTAAAACAGAAAACCATTAGGATTAGATCATCGTCGCCCTGGTACAGTGTTCAACTCCACACTTTAAAACAGGACGTCAGAAAATTGGAGAGGCTATATCGCCACTCCCACTCGGAGCCTGTCCACAGGGAGTGGAAAGCAGGTCTCCGAAACTACAAGAAGGCCCTTCGCGGGGCTCGAACTCAATACTATTCAACTTTAATAGAAGCGAATAAAAACAACAGTAGATTTTTGTTTGGTACCGTCGCTAAACTCACAAACTGCCATAGCGCAATCGAGCCTAAAATTCCAAGCTCACTGAGCAGTGTCGACTTTCTCCACTTCTTTAATAATAAAATTACATCCATCCGTGACAAGCTGGAGGAGGTTGCTCCTGCTGTTAGTGGTGGACAGGTTGAAGCGGCATACGTGACTTCCCACTTAGACTCTTCAGTGGGCCTTAATAAATTCATGGCTGTGAGCCAAGCAGAGGTGATCTCTGTGGTCACATCCTCAAAAGCCTCAACTTGCATGTTAGACGCAGTCCCGACATGGCTCTTCAAAGACATACTTCCTTTGATAATTGAGCCTATCGTAAATATAATAAACGCATCCATACAATGTGGCTATGTCCCACAAGCTTTTAAAACCGCGGTAATCAAACCCCTTCTGAAGAAAACAAACCTGGACCCAGAAATACTTACAAACTACAGACCGATCTCGAACCTCACTTTTATATCTAAAATCCTGGAAAAACTTATAGCTGAGCAGCTCCGCTGCCACCTGCAGGAAAATGATATGTTTGAAGTCTTTCAATCAGGATTCAGAGCTCATCATAGCACTGAAACGGCACTAGTCAAAGTCACAAATGACTTACTACTAGCTGCCGATAATGGACAAGTGTCAGTGCTGGTCCTACTGGACCTTAGTGCTGCATTTGACACAATAGACCACAGCATTCTACTGCAGAGGCTAGAATGTGATATAGGTCTTAGAGGAACAGCCCTTGGCTGGTTTAAATCCTATTTATCAGATCGATATCACTTCGTCAATGTGAATCAGGACTCGTCGCCTTATTCTGGAGTGGAATTCGGTGTGCCGCAGGGTTCGGTACTCGGACCGATTCTTTTTACTCTCTACATGCTGCCACTGGGAAACATTATTAAAAAGCATGGAATTAATTTCCACTGCTATGCAGATGACACACAGCTTTATCTGTCGATGAAGCCTAATCAGACAGATCAGCTAGAAAAGCTCAGTGCCTGCATAAAGGACCTTAAAATGTGGATGACTCTTAACTTCCTACTTCTCAACCCGGAGAAGACAGAAGTGATCCTACTCGGTCCGAAGCGCCTGCGTGACTCCCTCACTAACCAGATGGTTACTCTCGATAATGTCAGTATAATACCCAGTAACACTGTGAGGAATCTTGGAGTCATTTTTGACCAAGAACTCTCCTTCAAGGCTTATATAAGCCAAGCAACTAAAACGGCGTACTTCCACTTACGGAACATCGCTAAAATTAGGAATTTCCTTCCTAAAAGTGACGCGGAAAAACTCATTCACGCGTTTGTCACCTCAAGGCTCGACTACTGTAACGCTTTACTGGCAGCGTGCCCTAAAGCCTCTTTGAAGAGCTTCCAGCTCGTTCAGAATACAGCAGCTAGGATCTTAACAGGTACCAAAAGGAGGGAGCACATAACTCCGGTGTTAAAATCACTCCACTGGCTCCCTGTGGAGTACAGAATAAAGTTTAAAATCCTACTCTTAACATATAAAGCCATAAATGGCTTGGCTCCTTCTTATCTCCAAGACACGTTAGTGTCGTATCAACCAAGTCGAGCGTTGCGCTCACAAAACGCCAGACGTCTGGTGGTCCCTAAGGTCTCAAAGGTCACTGTTGGTGGCAGAGCATTTAGCTACCAAGCTCCTTTACTGTGGAATCAGCTTCCCATTTATGTTAAGGAAGCAGATACGGTCTCCACATTCAAGGCCAGGCTTAAAGCACTTTACTTTAATTTAGCATATAATTAGGTAATATATAATATGTAGTGTATATATTATATATATATGCTGTATTATGTTATATATTATTCAATAATGTATTGTGTTATGTTGTATATTATGTTATATATTATGCTGTATGTTATTCTTTATTCAAGGCTAGGTTTAAAACAGTCCTCTTTAGTTTAGCATATGGCTAGGAAGGTAAGACTCGGAGAAGGTTAAACTCCTCAGAGTGTTAGTCAAGCTGCATAGGGAGTCAGTTTGCTGGGAGAAGTATGGTAACTTGAGCACTATCCTCTCCTCCTTCCTACTTTATCTGTTTAGCATTTTTAGGATTCTGACTGTAGTTTGTTCATTGCTATTCACCCGTTGTCCCATTGTCTGTTTCATGGTACGATGACGGGATCTCTGAGCCTGGCCTCTTCCATCTACACCTGCGGACTGCCCCGCCCGACCCGCCTGGGAGTGCTTCAGTCCTGCACCGGACCTGTCCACGTTCAGCGTCCACTGGTCCACGTTCTGTAGCTAGCTTAGGTCCTGGATCATTAGTCTGTCCGTCCGGAGGAGCGGATCCCTTTCTCATATGGGTCTCCCTCCCTGTGGGTTTCCCTAGTTCTCCTCCAAGGTTTCTCACTTTTTCCCACTGGGTTTTTTAAGAGTTTTTCCTTGTCGATGCAGGAGGGTCTTGTTGGACAGTTAGTGTCCAACAGAAAGGATTGGTGATGATCAGGACACTTTAGCATTCTACAACATGTATGGACATTTTATTCTGTGTGTGCTTTATACTGTATTCTTCATGTGTTTTAACTGTTGATTCTCTGACCTGTGTTGGTGATTTCAATGGTTTTGTTAAGTCCTCTGAGATGACTTCTGTTGTGACCTAGGGCTATACAAGAATAAATTGTAATACATTGTATTGTATGTAAATTTCTCCATTGTGAGATCAATAAAGTTTATCTTATCTTGGTCAAGTCTTTAGACTGGGTCATGGAGGATTTGTTGGGGTTTTCTCATAGTTTGTTTATGAAAGTTCATGAATTAAAGCCTGACATGTGTGGTGCAGGTCTCCAGGACAACCCGTGGTTCTGTGACTGTAAGCTGTCCAAAGTGATGGAGGTGTCTCGGCTCTCGGAATGCCCTGTGGTGCTCATGGACCTCTTCCTGACATGCGCGGCCCCGGAGCCCCTGGCAGGAGTGCTGTTCCAAAGAGCGGAGCTGGAAAACTGTGTGAAGCCTTCGATCATGAGCTCTGCCACGCGCATCACCTCCCCCCAAGGCAGCAATGTGCTCCTCCGCTGCGACGCCTCGGGGCTCCCCACACCCGCTCTGTCCTGGCAGAGACCAGACGGATCTGCAGTGGACAACACAGGTACAGATCCAGACTACACTTCTCTCTGATTTCACTGAACACATTACTATACATAGGACTGTTTCATAAGACTGTTCATACTTATGAAAATAATAATAGAGCTGAAATAAATCAGCTCTATTTATCCAAATCTACCACTATAATACGACACACTGCCCCTTGCAGAAGTTCTCCGACCACTCCGGCAATGTGGACTGTGTGTCTGAGGGAACGAACTTGAATACCAGTCGATTATCATGGACTTGACCATCCTATTCTGTTATATTGTGTATCCAATTCATAGACTGTAAATATCAACGGACGTAGTCATGCCTATCTCCGCCGTTCTATCTAATGTGCCACAACTTCCGCGGTCTATGGGCAGTTTCAAAATGGCTGCAGGGGCTGGAAAATGTGAAAAAACGAATCTGGACATGCGTCAGCCGGCACGAGTGCCTTCAAAAAAAAAATCACAGCGAATAAACTAGACTGATCCAAAAAAAAATCACCCCCCTCAGCATTGACACACATGTGGAACGGAGGTTTGGGCCAATAGCCAACTTTTGGACCATCTTGTAAAGACGTTTTCAAGAGGTCAGTTAATGCTATATTGAATAATATACATTGAATAATTCTCATTCTGCGTCCACCCCCATCGTTCCGGGGTGGTATTGCAAGCATGTCAGCGCACTTTTGGCCACTTTTGAGCCAGGACCCGCCCCGACTGATCCAATTACTTCACACACTAAACATGTCATTATGTCACTGTTAAAACCAAAAATGCTATATTTGTTGAAAACATGTGTTTCTTTGCCTTCGTGTTTCAGTGGAAGAATCTCCTGGAGACGGTGTGCGTTGGTCCATCATGAGCCTGACTGGAATCCTCAACACAGATTCGGGAAACTACAGCTGCAGGGCAAAGAACGAGGCCGGAGAGACAGAGGCGTCCGTCTTTGTATCTGTGACCGCCACTCTTACAACCCCCGTGGCTCCATCCAGACCTAGTCCTGGGACAGGGCCCCCAGATCAGGATGAGGGCACCACACTCAAGTATGTACCAAAAGTTTTTGGAAAGTTCTACTTCAACAGTTTTGCTGGCACAATAATTATTGGGCAGATAAGTGATAACATTTAACCATAGACTATAGACATGTAATAGGAGGGGACAAATAATATCATAGGAGGCAGGACAGGCTGTTACTCTGGAATGGAAAGAAAATGGAAATGGAAAACAAGAAAACATGGATTGGATTATGTCAGAGTTTACATCACTGAGTCGCTTTTTGATGTTTTCTTAACCTGATATACCACAAAACTATAAACGTTTTTGCTCCCATTTTCCATGAGATGGACTTAAAAAGGGAACTATCATTATTAAAAACTATGTTTTTATATGTAAAACACATTACAAACATGTGTTTCCCACCACAGCTATGCGTTTTTATGCTATAGATAATTAATAAATCAGTAAAATAAGTTTTCAATATGAACGTCTCCGATTGGTCAGAACATTGATGATGTAGTTGTAGGGGTCGAAGCTCTCGCTTTAGTGTTTACGACTGTGCTTCTACTGCGACACAAATAAGACAGTAGTGAAAAAATAACAAACATTTCCTTAAAATGGGTGTATTTTGCATGCCCCCAGGATGCATCAATGAAAGTTACCGAAAGAAGAGTGTAAAAAACAGTCCCTACGATCTTTGACTTATTCAGAAAAGGCGACGGTCCAAACAATCTGAGAGAAGACACCAGCGCGAGTTCCATAATGCCACCCAAAATTAGTTCTATCAAGCTCCAACTAAAACCATTTTTACGAGTTTCAACCCAGTATTCAGCAGAAAACACAACGACTGTCATTGAACCATGAATCCATGTTTCACTTTCTAACTATGTTTAGTAAAAGATATAGATATGACACATACCATCATGTTTTAGACTTTAGAACCACAGACACACGTTCAGTATAAGACCATATATGTTTGCATTTGATTGAAGACTGTCACCATTTCTCTCAAACTCAACATCTGGAGCTGGGACATAGAGTTGAGGCTTCTCTCTCTCGGTGTTGAAGGTATTGACGTGTTAGCTGGTGTTAGCTATAATCCATGTTGTTAAACCACCTCCAGACTTTTTGGTTCTGTCCAGTTTTACGGCTGTTATCTTTCATTTCACGGTAGTCACTTTTACGCTTCTTAACTTTTCTCTGCACTGCGATGTCTGTGATATCCATTCCTTCGTCCCTAGCGCTACTTTCGCTAACACTTATTTACACTCACTCAGGTGTCACCATGGAGCTCAATCTGACCGCATCCGCGATCAAACCGGGTCGAGACGGGTCAGACCCGGTCGGACCATAGATCCATGAGTCCAGCCTGTGGAAATGGCCTTTATGTTCGCAAATGTTGAGTTCTTGAAGATTACTCATCTGAACTGAGTCAGAGTCCTCAAAATCAGATTTACTATCATAACAAATACGCAAGGGCTCATAAATAAAAACCCCTGACTTGTATTGTCCATCATTGAATGACAAATATCTGTTTAAAACATCCGTATACAACGTTATGGCTTACAAATGCATATCAACAAAGCCCAAAGACCCCTACGTGTACGTCACTTCCGGTTTAGGCAATTTTTCAGCAAATTTCTTTTTGCATGATAATTACTGATAGAAACCGCTAAGGGTGAAACTATCTGTCAAAATGTTTTATTGAACACAAAAAGACCACAATATACCAACAAAATGAGAATAGGTCCCTTTTAAAGATCTAAAATAAATTCTAGATACACAATATTACCCTTTCTCTCAAACATTGTTCACAAATCTGTCTAAATGTGTGATAGAGAGCACTTCTGCTTTGCTGAGATAATCCATCCCACCTCACAGGTGTGTCACATCAAGATGCTGATCTGACATCATGATTAGTGCACAGGTGTGTCTTACACTGTCCACAATTAAAGGCCACCCTAAAATGTGCAGTTCTGTCTCACAGCAAAATGCCACAAGCATTGGGGAGCGTGCAATTGGCTGACAGCAGGAATGTCAACCAGATCTTTTGCTCATGCAGTGAATGTTAATTTCTCCACCATAAGCCGTCTCCAAACGCGCTTCAGAGAATATGGCAGTACATCCAAACGGCCTCACAACCGCAGACCACGTGTAACCACACCAGCCCAGGACCTCCACATCTAGCAGGTTCCTCCAGGATTGTCTGAGACCAGCCACTGAGACAGCGGCTGAAACAATTGGTTTGCATAACCAAACCATTTCTGCACAAACTGTCAGAAACCATCTCAGGGAAGCTCAACTACGTGCTTGTCGTCCTCATCGGGGTCTTGACGTGACTCCAGCTCGTCACCGTAACAGACTTGAGTGGGCAAATGTTCACATTCGATAGCGTCTGGCACGTTGGAATCTCGGTTTGCGTTGTTCAGGGCAGATGTAAACACTTTGCTGATGTCAATGTTGTGGATGGAGTGGCCCATGGTGGTGGTGGGCTTATGGTATGGGCAGGCATCTGTAATGGTCGAAAGAACACAGGTGCATTTTATTGATGGCACTGTGAATGCACAGAGATACTCTGATGAGATCCTGGGCCCATTGTTGTACCATAGATCCATGAACATCACCTCATGTTTCAGCAAGATAATGCACGGCTCCATGTTGCAAGGACCTGTACACAATTCTTGGAAGCTGAAAATGTCCCAGTTCTTGCATGGCCATCATACTCACTGGACATGTCACCCATTGAGCATGTTTGGGATGTGCTTGACAAGCGTATACGACAGCATACACCAGTTCCCACTGATATCCAGCAACTTCACACAGCCATTGAAGAGGAGTAGACCAACATTCCACAGGCCACAATTGACAATCTGATAAACTCTATGCGAAGAAGATATGTTGCACTGCATGAGGAAAATGATGGTCACACCAAATACTGACTGACTCCCCAGACCCCCAATAAAGCAAAATTATGCACATTTCAGAGTGGCCTTTTATTGTGGACAGTCTAAGGCACACCTGTGCACTAATCATGATGTCAGATCAGCATCTTGATGTGGCACACCTGTGAGGTGGGATGGGTTAAGTGCTCACTATCACACATATCGACAGATTTGTGAACAATACTTTGCGATATATAATTTTGTTAAAAGATCAAATAAGTGTGTTTTTAAAGTGCAATCTGTCATGTGCTTTTTTTAGTACTGCTGCAGCTGTGGACGTGTCAAAACCATCCTCCCCCACCCCCTCACTGCTGCCCCCTGTGGTTTTGACACGAGCACCTCCAGCCACCAGCACCAGTGTCCAGAAAGACTCCCTCAGACCAGAGAAAGTCAAACAGGGCGGAAAGAGGCTGGCTGCAGATCAAAAGAGCAGCAAAAAGGACCCAGCTTCAGCGCTAACAGACTTGGAGGTAAGAACCCATAATATTGACCAATTTACAACTTACGTCATCGGGAAGCCACAACGGAAGTACCACATTTACCCTGCAGGATACAGATCAGTGCATTAAAAATTGCAGGGGCTACGCTCATGGTTGTTTTAATCCAATATACTGAACAGGACATGATTTTATACTTGATATGGGTATGCCTTTACAAGCTTTCCACATCTAGAGACTGAAAATTTTGCCTATACGTCATCTCAATAATTGATCACTGATGCAATACAGAAACGATATACTGAGGTCCCCTGCCGATACAGTTCAAATCGACTCATCCCTGTCAAAGTTACTCTGCAATGCAATGCAATTCACTCCTAATCTTAATACGTTACGATTCAATGATTTCATGACGACGAAATATAGAAATGGGCTCGGTTTGATTGGTTTTGGACACAAAACATAAGTTCTGGTCAAAAGCTGGCTCAGTCCTGACTCCTGTAGGCTCCGCCCTTGTTCAGATTACAGCATTATTTAATTTGAGGGAAGTGCACCATTCGTGCCTCTCTTTTGAAACATCGATTGAAACGTGCGTAACACGCAGCACATCACCTCATTTTGCGCGTGCTTCACTCACGAGCAGGACTCTTGAGCGCCTTATATCTATGTGAATACTGATTATTTTTGGACGCTTTAAAGATCAAAACAGAGCTTAGACTCAAATCTGTCATACTGTATAGACAGCATGTCTCTGCTCTTTCACAAACTTCAACTGCTGAGCAGCGCGGCAGAGACAAAAGACTGGGACCAATTCAATCTGGAAAGACGACAAGACACAAGATGCATTTGAATGTTTTATTGATTGATAGTTTGGCATCCTGGGCCCCGGTAGTGGTACATGGTCTGTGAAGCTCCTTGATTGTGAACACTTAAGATCACCCGGGACCTAGGTACTGGTAGTGGCGTCAGGGCGAACTGGGGAGAGAGCATGCCCCCGAAGAATTAGGAGGAGGCGGAGGCAGTGGTTGCGAGGTTTGAGAGGGCTGTGGTATGAGAGTTTCCACTTTGAAGCTGCTGGCTTGGACGGCATAGGTTAGCAGGGAATGGGCCGAGGTTGAGAAGGCCGGCCTTGATGCAGCGGGTAATCTACCAAGATTGAATATCTGCAGGCTGCATTACTGTTTATACCTCATACTTCACGGCCAATTTACGTGATCCTTGCGGGAGAACGGGAGTACAACTGAGCAGGTGCATATTAGCGATCAAATACCAATTCAATGCAAGAATTTAACCAACACAAAGAAGCAAGAGCCGACGCATCACAGGTGCATGCTGGAATGTGCTAGTGCAGTCGCATCGCAAGTGCTTGATTTGAACCACCAGTGCAAATTGGTAAATCTCTCCATCCCTAATCTTTGCCAAACAGTCCTGTCAGATTAAATGGAGAATGTTTGGGAAAACCACTTTTCAGGTCTTTCTACAGATTTTTTGTGCACCGAGGGTGATGAGTTTTGCATCATAGATACAACAAAGCATTTGGTTTTCATTTAATTTCAGGGACAGATTGGTTGGGTTGCATATCGGATCAGTGCTCTTCTCAAGGATTTCAAAGTCAAATACATCAGAGGGCCAAAAAAAACACATTTGCTACAAGCCGAGGGCCAGAATACAGGTTACCATATTTTATTTATTGAATAAATGAATCCATCCATCCATCCATTTTCTACCCTTTAATCCATTTCTGGGTCAGGGGGGTGGCAATCAGAGATGCCACCCAAGTCTCATAGCACCAGCCCCTCACTGACCCTCTGCAGGTGGTGAGTCCACAGGAGGACGGCTGCTCTCTGACTGAATAAATGAATAATTCAATAATTTTGTATGGCTCTGTCAGTAATTTCAAGTGAAATCAGTTTTCAACAGACTCACAAAACATAATTTTGTTAAAAGAGAAAACACATGTCCTGAGCATTAAATGAATAATCCAATGGCTCTGTGCGGCCACTTCTAATACTAATCAAATATCATCCCAGGGGCCAAGATAAATCATTCACGGGCCGGATCTGGCCCCCGGGCCATGACTTTGACACCTATGGTTTAGGTGCTCAACCGTGTCCTGGTAAGTTTGCCGTGATGCCATAACTAACATTACTCACACACACCGGTCTTGAAGCCCATGCCCCCGCTGCAAGTAATGTCTGTTTGGCAGAAAGTGAAATGATTAGTAGTTTTGTTTATGAAAGGTATCCATTTATTGCGTTACTACGCATTACTGACCATCACAGTTTATGTCATTTTTCATGCGTTAAGGTTTTCAGTCATTAATGTGATAATTATTATGTTCAGGTGGTGGAGGAGAGCATGGACAGTGCAGTGCTGCTGTGGACAGCGGATGGCTTGCCGGCAGACACTCCAGTGACTGTGGTTTACTCTCCGTATGGAGACGAGGACTTCAAACAAACCATGGACAGCAGCGCAGGTAGTGGAAAGGCTGAGCTGCAAGGACTTTCCCCTGGAATGAAGTATTCTGTGTGTTTGGTGGCTAAAGGCAGTATGAGCAGCAGAGACCCCTGTGTGGACTTCTACACCCTGGACAGAGCAGACAACAGTGGACAGAACCAGCTCTTCGTCATCATCAGTGGAATGGTCTGTGTGCTCATTCTGCCTCTGATCGCTTTGCTCATTTACAAGATCTTAGCGCTGTACTGCAAAGGAGCGCAGATACCTGAGGATGAAGAGGAGCTCGAGAAGGAGAGCTATGTAAAATTTGAGACTATCTCCATGAAACACAGGACGTTAAACTCTCACCCCACAGAGCTGTGGGCGCGCAGGCCCACACACGACTCTGAGCGCATGCTTCTGTGCTCCAGGTCCAGTATTGACTCTCAGATGACATACAAGAGCGACAGCTCGCGTTCAGAATACCTCTGCTGACCAAAATCCAGACCACAAGGTTGACAGGATGCTTATAATGAGGCCTTATTGTACAACATTTTTTTTATAGAATGTTTATTGTTGAAACATACATTCATGAACATTATTCTGGCACAGTTTACTGGTTTTATTAAAATTTATATTGATTTGACATTGTTGACTAATTGTTATCACTACTAATGAGTGTGCGTGTGTGCCCCTGCCTATGCAAGACCAAAACTGGTCTGGTACTTCTGAAGCTGCATTCTCACCAGATCAAGCGGTGGGAGAGGTTTACATGCAAAGTCAATGGTGCCAAACAGCGGTGCGAATATTTGCATGCATGGTTACGCACATTAATCATGTGCGTGTGACAGGTGCGTTGGGTGTGGTGCGGCAACCAATCAGAGAGCAGACAAACTGCTGATGAGATCATGGCATGCTCAAGAGGGGGAGTGAAGCGGGAAACCGGCATTGTCAAAAATGAGTCTTGGGTGGGCAGCCTCGTTTTAGCTGTAGGCCACTATAAAGAACTTTAGATAGATACTTTTGATCCCTTGTAGGAGAAATTCAGGCGTAAAGTAGCTGTAAAAACACAAACAAAACAAATAAGTTGATCATTCTAAAAAGCTAAAAATAGTAATGATAGGTCACAGCAGCAAAGGTGGAGCATTCACTGGTCCCTTTTTATGTTTGACAAAGAAGAAAACAAGAGATGGCAATATGAAGCCCTGTGAAGAGGCATTGCAGCCCCTAATTTGCGCTAACAACATCATGAGACAAAAAAACACTCCAAGGCACATTTCTTTGCTTAGACTTTATTTTGCCAAATGATATTACACAAAAACAAGATTGCTCATGTGCTTCATGTGACACTAACAGTAAAGTAGCCTAAAGTAATGAAGCTACTGGTCACGTTTGTCATCGTAGGCTACAAGCTATAAAACAAATGTCATGGGCAACATGTTTCAAAAAATAAGTTGTGTGTTTTTTTTCAACAAAAATTGCTTCATATTTTTGTTGACTAAAACTAAATACATACTACTATATATTCTAGTCTAAAGACCAAAAACAAATTTTGAATTTCTTGTAACACTGTGACAAGAACACTACTGTGATCGAGAAGGTCATCTCGATCACAGAGCATTCACGTGTCCAAGTTATCAGAATAATAATATTTTTTTTCGGACTGTTATCCGGTTCATGCAGGTGAAAAAGTGGGGGTCACTTAGGGACACATTTGAAAGAGGGGAGAAAGGAGAAGGCCAGAGAAGTGCGTCTGCAATAGGGACAATCTCCCCATATCCCACCACCAGCAACACAGGGAGCAAGGTTGAGATGGAAACAGACATGTCTCCGGAGACAGCACTTCTGCCTCTTCCCTGTCTCTGGAGATAGGGAAGAGGCAGGATCCCCAGCGAGGTACTTTAGGCACTGAAGACAAACAGCCAGGCCCTGTGTCCTGTTTTTTTTAAATCACTGTTTATAAAGCTCAAACATATTTCCTTTATAAAACAACATCTCTAAAGTTTTGCAGATGGGTCATAAACTGTGTTTGTGACAACAAATATTAGTCTTTATGTCACCAAAAATGTAGTTTTGACTTTCCAGGTAAAAAGCAAATGGTGAAGAACTTAAGAGAGTCTTTATGTGACCGAGAGAAGAGATTTAAAACAATTGTTTAGCATAAAATCCAATTAAAATATACTAAATTACAAAAGGTCAGCAACACCACCTAGGTTGAAGGACCTAGGACCTATTTTAATAACACAGGTAAAGACACCGGGGTGAGCAATGTGATTTAAACCAGGTGATATAATTAAAAGTTGATTTATTATAGGGCTGGGCGATATTTGCCTGGCCTGCCAAACGATATGCTTTTTCAAAGACATATAGTCTGGGAACGAGCTTGATCTCAGCGAATTCCCGGTGGGCGTGGTTGACAGACTGCATCAACCAATTAGATGCACACAGGATATGACGCAGCAACTAGCGGCACCCAAGCCGTTTCAGTAAACACAAAACAAGGGATGGCGGCATGTCAGCTAGTGCAAATGTAAACGACTGCTGTCGATTTTGTAACAAAAACTTAAAGATACGAGGAGTTATTAGCAACTCAATTCCGTTGTTTGCTTCCGCCTCTAGGTGAAAGGAAGTCCCGCCTCTCGGTGCGTGATTGGACCGATGTGGGTAAAATCGTGAAATGATAGGCTAGGAAGAGGTGTCCAGACGGTTCTTCTTTTGAACAGAAAGGAGGAGTGTCTGGCAGGCCAGGCAAGGGCGATATGGCTGAAAACTATCACGATAAGTGTTTCATATCAGTCAATATCGATATATATTGAACCTATTGTCAATAAAAACCAGGAGGGAAAAAAAGGCTCAAAAAGGCCTTTATTTTAAATACAACTTTTAAACTTTAACACAAAATCAACATTATGAAAAACAGTCAAATACAAATAATGGTGCAAATGTAGACATTAAATAATGCTTAATATAAATAAAATGTGCAAAGTATTTTGTAATTAATAAATAATAAGGCTTTAAGGCCATACTGCTAACGATATACACAAATAAATAAGTCACATTTAACAGTATTGTAAACATGTGTGACAAAACAAACCTGTTCCAGCTTCAGCATACAAAAAAAATAAAAAATCTGCAAGCACTGCTATTTACTTAACCATTGCCTCACTGCAGATTTTGTCTAAGGAAGACAAGCTGATTGACCATCTCAAATTTTAAGGCTGCCTTGATGCATGTCACACAAGCCCCGGCGATTCAAGATGGCGCCCTATTCAAATGAATGGTTGTGCTCAGTGGCGCCTTGCGACGGCATGGGGGCTGAAAGATTAGCGGAAGTCACCTGGAACTCGCAAAGATCTATGGGAAACTAGCCTGTATTTGGGCATTGTCTGGTCCTCCCGGTTCTGCGCAGTGGATGATCTCCCATAATGCGTTGCGCCAAATACGCATGTGTGGGTCTCACACCGGGTCTCACGCACGTGCACAGAGGGTCTGCTGGTGGCTGGAATGCACAAGTATTTTTTGGCAAGCTGCAACATATTGTTCATCATCTTGACTTGGTATTTTGAAGAAACTGCCCAATGATTTACGCTGCTTCTTCACACCTGGTGGAAGAGATGTGGCACCTTCTCCTTCTGCACCCTGGCCTCCTGTTCCCTCTGGAATCTCAGCTTCTGATTGGCTGGGGTCTTCGTCCAACATTTCACACAGTACTCATTCTTTAATGGCCTCTACCTTTTCTGGGCTGATGTACCATGTCTTTAATCTGGGATCCACAAAGGCAGCCTGAGCCAGCATACAGTGCCTTGTGATAGTATTCGGCCCCCTTGAACCTTTCAACATTTTGCCACATTTCAGGCTTCAAACATAAAGATAGAAAATTTTAATTTTTTGTCATGAATCAACAACAAGTGGGACACAATCGTGAAGTGGAACGAAATTTGTTGGATAATTTAAACTTTTTTAACAAATAAAAAACTGAAAAGTGGGGCGTGCAATATTATTCGGCCCCTTTACTTTCAGTGCAGCAAACTCACTCCAGAAGTTCAGTGAGGATCTTTGAATGATCCAATGTTGTCCTAAATGACTGATGATGATAAATAGAATGCACCTGTGTGTAATCAAGTCTCCGTATAAATGCACCTGCTCTTTGATAGTCTCATGGTTCTGTTTAAAGCGCAGAGAGAACCATGAAGACAAAGGAACACACCAGGCAGGTCCAAGATACTGTTGTGGAGAAGTTTAAAGCTGGATTTGGATACATCCGCCATTTTGGATTCCTCTCGCTGCTGCTTGAGAGAAGCTTGAGAAGGCAGTGCAAACCCCACGTAACACCGGCAATCCTGATTGGTCGATTAAAAAAATAATCTGGGGAAGGCGTTCGCTATGGCGTCGATACCAGACCCATGTGGTTCAGCCAAACGACTCTGGTGGAGCATGGCAAAACTTCAAGGGTCTGGCAGAGCCAGGCTAAGCTTCTGGGGCTCGGAAGACTTAAACGAGCAGTACAGTTGAAGATCATCTACATACAGATGGTAAGAAATGTCACTGAACTGCTGGATCAGCTCGCCTAAAGGGAGCAAGTAAATCAAAAATAGAATAGGCCCAAGAACTGAGCCCTGGGGTACACCAGATTGCAGGTCAGCTGGTTCTGACATCGTGTTATTAGAGGACACACAGAAAGTTCTACCAGTCAGGTATGATCTAAACCACTCTAACACAGGGCCTGACAAGCCTACCACATCTCGTAGTCTCTCAAACAGAGTGTTATGGTCTACTGTGTCGAACGCAGACGACAGGTCTAGGAGGACCAGGACGGAGCATTTACCAGAGTCATAATGTCACTGGACACTTTTAACAGTGCCGTTTCAGTCGAGTGAAATTTCCTGAAACCAGACTGAAAAGTGTTGAACATTTTGTTAGCCTCCAAGAATGCTGTAAGTTGGTTAGAGGCGACCTTTTCCAGAACTTTGGCCAAGAATGGAATCTTAGAGATAGGCCTGAAGTTCTGTAGGTCTGCTGGATCCAAGCGCGATTTCTTTAAGTGGGGTTCCACAACAGCGTGTTTAAGGGAGCCCGGGAACACACCAGCCGACAGTGAAAGGTTAAACATTTTGACGATTAACGTAGCAACCGATTCCAAAACATTGACAAGCAGTAGGGCCGGGACAACATCGAGGCAACAAGGGGTTACTTTCATGTTCTTCACTGTAGATAGAAAGTCCTCTTGGGTGACTTCCTTAAAAGATGACCAACTGTGAGGAGGTGGGTCAGGCTGTGCCTGACTATAAGGAGGGGAACAGGGGAGTTTAGCCTTTATGTCTCTGACTTTATCAACCCCTGATAAAGTATGCAAAGTCATCACAGCCTGTGCAATACTGCACAAAATTTGCAAGGAGAGACGGATTGCAGCACCTTTTGAGGATGGTGGAGACAGCCATGATGATGTTGATGATGAAGCAAATATTCACTTGCCACAGGGGAACTTGGCCCAAAGTGGATTACCTTACAGAGCCTGCTTTACGGATTTACATTTCAGGCAAGTCAGTATATCAATTTTGCAAACTTGTACTAATGTACTATATGATAATTAAACACACAACACATTTTACTCACAAAGACACAATATCTATTTGGCATTGGATTTATTTTTAGGAGCTCAATTTTTAGTTGATAATACTCTTCCTGTAGACATAGAACTTACTTTGTGTTGCTGTTTGAAGACCTTGTGGTGACAGTTTTTGGAGTAATTACATTAAAACCAGCCGCAGCAAATACACGGACGTCAAAGGCCTTTTATCAATGCAGACGACCTTCTGACGCCATGCTGAGCTTTGTGAAGGTCCCTGCTGTCTGTCACACCCTTGTGTCTTTCCGTCTTGCATCTGTATGACCTGCATTTCCACCATTGTCTGTCTGTTCACACCCCATGCCACTGCCACCACAGGGGATAGCGCCGGCGCTTCCTGTGCGCCTCCTCACCGGTGGCCCCCTCCGCTCCGTTGTGGGCGTGACTATCTTTGGTGTGTGTCTTGTATACAGGAAGCTCGGGGCTCTGGCCCCCAGAGCTGGGACATGCTGCTTTTGAGTGGATGTGCTGGCTCTCCGCACTGTGCGTTAACAATAAACTTACGCTTTTGATCAGACAAAGGACCTTTGAGTTTTCTCCTTCATTGGGTAGAAACTTCCTTAACAATTTGGCGTTGCTGACATGTCTTGGCATGGATACTTTCGGCGGGGACGAGCGGCTTTGTTTGGCCGACCTGGATCACCAGCCTCTGTTCCTTTTTGGAGACAAAGGAGGGCGCGCTCGTCCCGCGCACGGAAGGAATCCTTTTGCCACACAAGACCAAAAAGAACCTAATCTGGTGAGTCTTGTCTTTTCATCTGCGTAACGAGCCCAGGGCAGCACTTAAGTGTACACGGGGATTTGTTTATTTATGTATTTTTGGGGTATTTCATTCATTGCCACAGCATAGTCTGTGTGCGGGATTTTTTGGGGGCTTTTTGTTCTAGATTGAAACTAGCGGCTGCGCGTTAGTATCGCATTGTAAGCGACCCTGGAATCTCTGAGTGTCTTCAGCCAGAACCGCTCCGTTTTCAAGAACGCGCGCTCGCTGGTTGAACCAGCGGGGGGGGGAACGGAGCGCCCCAAAGTGGGTAGGAGCAGGGAGAGACTAAGCGGGTTAGGCCCATTGTTCGTACGAGAAAATGGGTAAAATCAATCTACAGATGCAAGCTGTGAAGTGCTTGCCTATGGTGCAGGTCATCTGCGTGATAATTTAGAAGAAGAAGGGAAGAAAAAAAAAATATATACTTGGTTTTAAGAATATCACGGCAAAAGAGGTTAGAGAAAGAAATATGTAAAAACAATA